GTTGCGAGAGAAAAATCTAGTAATATAAGTCAAATCCTTCCAGGTACTTTTTTTTGGCCAAACTATATACATGAGCAAAGACCCAGCCGATATCAGGACAGACGTTTGAGTCGGCGATGTCGGATATCACAGAAACTAATCTCCTCTTATTTTTAAAGTTTACGTAGAATGGAGTTGTCTCCTGATCTGCAGGAACAGCACTTATCAGGGCCGGATTTACCCACTTGCCGCCCATGGGCCGGCTGTATTTTGCCGCCCCCTTCTCATTCGTTTTGAAACATCAATAAAAACCATCAAGTGAACGTGCAGCGGGGAGGGGTGCATAAGACGCGTTTACTCGTGTTGGACACATTTTTTGCGAAGCCTGTGTGAATGTTGACACATTTTGTCAAAATTACTAGCAAAAGTTAGCGGAACTTTTCGCGGAAGTTAAGTTCCGTAAACCCATCTCTGTGTGAACAAGGCCTTCCATTTATAAGAAATGAACGAAAAAATTATGAAAGAACAAACTGACCGCACTGTGTTTGGCGCAATGCGTGAAGCATTCCTACAGTCTTGCAGGCGCTATGCGTTTCACACCGACCGCTGCTGAACGCAGACGCAATGCGTGAAGTATTCATGCAGTCTTGTAGGCGTATGTGTTACATGCCGACTGCCACCGCGTCGAGGGCTTTTCCTTTTCATCACAAGTCCTCGTCATCATTGCTCTCTGCGCCGCGCCATTCCAGGCCGAAGTGCGTGTTTGGTTCCTCTCTTTACTCGACTAATTAAAGGTGGTGATGGACTTAGTTCTTGTATTTTCTTCCAATCGGAAACTGAAGTCAGGTGATCTTCTAGTGTTAAAGGTGCGTGAACTTATTTGGCGTGGACTGTTTATTATCCTCTCCCTACAACCTCTAAAGCGATTGGCTTTTCACACGCTTATTTACCTAAATTCACTGAACATTTTACATCATTTGGTCAATGAATGCCGATTTTAAACATTCAGAAAAATGAGCACCAGGTGTTAGGAAGATGGACAGTGTGCAATGCAATGCAACATTGCAACTTATTTCAATTTCATTGCAATAAATCTCAATCAGAAGTGTTCATTTGATCAGTAGATAGGCAACTTACACAACACTCCGATACAGTATAGCAATAATTGTATCATCTAATTGCAATGCAATCCGCGCCACTTGGGAAGGATGCATATTATTTATACGCTTTTTCGATAGGGCACACAAAAGCTTTCTTTAGTGGGATCTACTGCAAAGTGTTGCAATTTTTTATGACTGAAAGTGTGTAAAAGAATCGTAGGAATTTCTCAACGAAATTTACCCATTATCTCCAGGGAATCCGCCGCTACTCAGCGATCAAACGCAATGTAAATTTTTGGAAATATTAGCACGAAAAAATAAGCTAAAAACGAAGAGAAAAGAAGGAGAAAGAGAGGGGGGGAGAGATAAAATTTAGATGTTTTATTCAATGGTTTTATTAAAAATGGCCAGTTGAAAAATGAATTGTACGTGAGATAATCGAGGCTGGGCACTTGAAATTGGGTAGTGGGTACCGCACTCGCGGCTTCCTCACGCAGAGATCGTCGCTGTAGAAAAAGCGAATGAGGCAATGTACGCGCGTTGTTTCTGAACAATGGAATCAATAGATCATTGGACTTCACACGTCGTCTTCCGTTAGTTTTCATGGCGTTAGCTATACTGTAGCTGCTCAGTTCTCTCAAAAGCGCGCGGAAACACGCCTGTAAATAAATTATCGAAAAAGTGTATCTCTCAACAACAGAGGGAGAAAAAAGTCATAGGCGGGTCCAATGGGAGGGGGCAGCATAGGGGGCGTACGCCCTCTCGTTCCCCCGAACACCCTCCCCCCCCCCGGNGGGGGGGGGGGGGGAGAGGTCTAGAGGGTATGAAATACTCCGTAGAGGAATTTTCGCCTCTAGACCCTTCCCCGGGAGGGGGAGGGTGGATTTAAGGAAAAATCCGCCTTCCTCGTTCGAAATGTCTGGAACTGCCATTGAAAAAAGCAAGCAAAATATATTGTCCAACTGTTGTTACATTGAAGTTTAGCGCCCAATAATGAAACTTCAGAAACTGCACGGAGTAAGATTGAAATATTTTTGTAAATAGAAGCCTATTTAATTTTGAAGTACGATACGCGTTATTTTGAAGGGTCTGTATTAAGCCATAGTTCACTTTGGCTGCGTGCGACGCACGCCGTGCGTACTCACGTTTGCATTATATAGTTTACCTTGAACTACAATAATTACTCTTGAAAAATTTTCTTCATGAATCAAAACGAACTTTCATCAAATGTTTCCTGCAAAGGGATTGCAGATAACATTAAAGTAATTCTTCCCCGAATGTGATCATGTTCAAAATTGTTATCTCACAGTCAAAGCTCGTTCAGCTCATCGTCAGGCAAAGAGTTCCACTCACAGTTGAAACAAGAAAAAGAAGAGAGTAAAGTTCGAGAAAAATACCAATAATCCTGCATCATAACTAAGCGATCAGCTGGCAGATTTTGAGCACACATAAGAAGTGACACTCTTCAATCGCGAACCACTGAATAGGGTCTATTGGCCTTCTCACAGGACATGACTGCTTTATTAATTAACATGGATCAGGGAACAAGACTGTCTTTGTTTTTTGTTCCCTGTGGGCTCAGTACGTCCTATCCATGCTTTGCATTTAATGTGTCGACTGACCCAGTGCTCACTTAATTGGAAAATTATGGCACTTTACGCTAAATTAGTCTCAGATAATGTTCATTCATCGCCCTGGACGTAGTAAACGAACCAAGAGATGGCGATGAGAATATTCTGCACAACGCTGTAACTGCAAAAGCGCATATCTCAGTTCGCGACTTTGCAGACTTCCTATGATTTTTTTTATTGATTTTTAAACTGAAAACTGCTGAATGTCACCCTGGTAAAAATTGGCAGTAGAATCTGTGTTCCAAAATACCGCAGACCTACAGCCGGCTGTAAGATTTCCAATAGCTTTTATAGCCGGCTACACAATTTCTTATAGCCTTTTATAGCCGATAGCGATTAAGCAACAGCCTGGCGATAAAGTTTATGCTAAACGTTACTAATTACGGATGCTAGGACTTAGTGAGTTTTTGGAATACTGCTCTCCTTTTGGGCCGTAGTATCTTGATTTATTTTGCGAGGAAAGCTCCGTACTTTTGATGGATGCCTGCCATTACTAATATATTAGAGCGCCTTCAGTTTCGTATGGTACTGTGCAATACCTCTGGTGTGAAATAGTTGCTTCAAGCGCCGTGGCAGGCGGGCAGCCAGCGCGGAACACGCATTGGCGCCTACAAACCTAACAGGGATACTTCACGCGTTGCGCAATGCGTGAAGTATCCCTGTTGGGTTTGTAGGCGCCAGTGCGTCGCCGCTCCGCTTTGTGTTAGGCTCTAACATTTAATCTGGCGGAGTCAGCGTTATTCAACTCATGATTTTGAAATGTTTGCACATCCTGTATGGATTATTCTCATCTTAATTGATGAAAAAAAATATGTATTAAAGGAAAATATAATGTGTGTTTTGTAAATATTAAGGTGGTTCCGTATCAAACTTAATGATTTCCAAAGCACTCGAATTTCTACACAATTTCTTATGGCCTTTTATAATCGATGGCGAAAAAGCAACAGCCAGGCGATAAAGTGTAAAGCCCGGCGATAGGAACTATATATAGCCCGGCTGCATAATTTATTATCGCTTCGTATAGCCCGGCCGTATGATTTTCTCCGCATTCTACAGCCAGCTATATGATTTTCTGTAGCCTTCTTTAGCCGGCTATAAGAACTCCTATGGTATTTTGAAACGCAGCTTTTATCGCCAATTTTTACCAGGGCATTTCTTGAAAACTTCAGTAATTTTTCATATCTGTGTGAGAAATATTCTGCGAAAATTTCAAGTCATGATGTTGATTCAGTCTCATTCTAATAAAAATAGGAATGGAAGTTTTGAAACACCACAATCGAAACTACCCCCGCGTTCTTGCTGTTTCACCGTCCACTCAACACACTTGTCTGTGTGTAAGTGGCGCACATAAAGTATAGAGAAGCCAAGTCACATCCGACATTGCCTAATTTTATCGGATAATTTATTTTTTTACGGGAGAACGATGGTGGGGATTCTTTTGACTATTTCAGGAGATTTCCTCCGGGATGTGAAGCAAATTTTCACAAGAATTCGCACTACCGTTCCTCTGGAAAATTGAATTGTTCGATGAAATTTGGCAATAACTGATGTGACTCGGTTGTTTTCTGCTCAACGCGGTACGAGTATAGTAAGTTAAACCCCGACCTCGGTGTGAAGCGCCTTAAAATCCTGGTGATACTCTCAGCATTGCCTGGTAGTTAGTTTAGATGCGTATCCGAACCGAACTTACAACAGTAGGTCACTGATTTCACAGCGCCTGTGCTACCTGGTACCATGCATGCAGAAAAATTGTCTGTTTGAATTCCAACCATAACTATAATTATTATCAACACTATCTATCTTCTTTCTTTACTTACTACTGAATCTTCAACTTATTTCATTCGATCGCAATTTGCCGGCGATTGCCGATTGGCTGCGGCATCTATAATTTTCTTGCCAGTCTTATGAACACACATTTCGAGCGGTATATCTAGTATGGAAAGTTTTGTTTTCTTAATTTAAATGTATTCTCGGTTTTAAACCTTATCGAAGTTTAGGTCTCTATTTCAATAGACATGGATAAACTTTGCCTCTGTATGAATTTTCTCCCGGTAAAGTGAACTTTTTGACCTGAAATCTCTGAAAAATCTCATTTCTGTCCCGAAGAAAAAAAGGAAGGAAGAAAATTATGCGTGTAGGGGAGTGTGAATCGGTTCTAAGATTTTTGACTGCATAGGTCTCAAAATTTTTACCGAGTCCTTACTCTTTAGAGTTGCCTGTAGTTTGTTGTTGGCTGTTAACTGTAATTTTTTTTATTTTTACTAACGTCGTTTATTTTTTTCTTGTCCAGGTGCATGCTTATATCATCACTGCCCTTCGGAAAGACATGCCCTCAATGTTTGGAAAAGACGCAAAAAAGAAGGAATTAATCAAGCATTTAGATACAATCTATGACCAAATCCAAAGAGAACACCAAATTTCACCTGGAGATTTTCCAGATATCAAAAAAATGAAGGTAACTTTAGAAAAACTCCTGAATTTTGAGTGTATGCTTTTTTATGCTTGTGTGTATTTTGATGCCTCAGAGTGTTGACGCACCCTGTCGTATTTTTCAAACTCGCAATTGCGAAACAGCGGCAGCGCTTTCAACGCACCATTTTCGGCACGGCGGCAAATTTCATTCGCCATGCTGCGCTTGTGAAAAGTCAATTTGGCTTCTAAACTATTGTAGATTGCTCTTAAAAATTGGGCTAGGTATGTAGCCAAGGTGGCTTCTAAAATTTTAGAGGGTAGGCAGAACCCTGGAGCATCCAGCCTTGTGTCCAAATTTGATCAATTCATTTGCAAAATAAATTGCTCACAAAACAAGTCTTTTGGTAAGTGAAGAAACAGGATAGTCGGCGGTCTGTAAGAGTGACAAAATTAGGCAAAGTCAGGGATTTTTCAGGCGACCGGGAAAAGTCAAGAATCTCATCGTATTCAGAGAAGATCAACGAAACCGGAATTTTTTAAATTTGGAATAAATATTTTGCTGCGATTTCAAATTTTAAGTGTTTGTTTGTTTGTCTTCGACCCAGGAAACATTACAACATCAAGATTTCACAAAATTTCAACCTCTCAAACCAAGATTGTTAGAGGTAGTCGACAAAATGTTATCAGATGACATTGCAAAACTTATGGCTCAGATTCCTGTTGAAGAACTTACCACAGAGGCAAAGGCACCTGTTTCAGGTATAATTTCATTCATCATTTTCATATTTTAGCCCCATTTTTGCCCCCCGCAGCATTTCTTCTGGTATCAGGACCCCAAGATGGGTCAAAGACCAAAGCCTTGCGGCTACTTGTCTTCCCCTAAGCAATTGAAATTATAAAGAAAATCTTTATGACAAAAGAAATAGAATCTATGTGTAGAAGAAGAAAATGGTTATTTCAAGTTGAGGAAATCCTCTAACTGTGTGATGCATGCTAATAATCCAACATTAATGCATGGTATGGAAGACATAATCTAGAAGTTCAGGTTCTTTAAGATGTTTTATGAGGCTCTCCAGGGTGACATATATGTATAAGTGCATAGAAACATTAAAATAAGCATTTTAAAATTTTGAAAAAAATATCGTGAGTCAAATTTCAAGATTTTTTTTTATCGAATTCTCGGATATTTGCTCCGGGTTGCATATGCATGCAAGCCCCTAAAAATCGACAAATTCGATGAGAATTAAAATCACTTTCAGCAAATTTAAATTTCATTTTGCATATCTAATCCTCTGCCAAATATGTTACAAATTTTTTAATGAAAGTTTTAGCTGGTCGCGCAGTTGCAATTTTTCTGAGCTCATGAATTTCGGATGAACAATGAACCTCCTTTACTATTTGAATTTTAAGGTGTCTTCATTTATCTTGCAAGACCACTGTACTCATCAATATATAATTTTTTAAAGCAATTACTTGTGTAGGTGGAGCATTCACCAAAGTGGAAGATGATGACAATCCATTTGGTTACATGAAAGGAGAGGGTATCAATGCAGGTCATGGCGAAAGTGATTGGATTGTAGCCAAAGATCGTTACAAGGTTGATGCTATCTTCAAGGAATTGGGCCCAGTGGATGGAAAAATTTCTGGTGCTGGTGAGTATGACTGATCATACAAATGGTTTTTGGTTTTCATCCCTGTTACGAATTTTTCAAGCAAAAATTTAAAAAAAAAGATTATCAATTAAAACCGAATTTCCTAATAAGAGAAATAGAACTTACTTGTTTTTACAACATGAGAACTGAAGGCACTTCTTTCTTTATTGATTTTAAGGAGTAACTATTTACTGTACTTATGATTGTGTTTTATTTTAAGTACCAGCTGTACCACCTGCCTTCATAATCCTCATTTCTTATTCCTAAAGTGAAAAGAAAGCGATCCAATAAATAGACTAGCAATGCAAAGTCTTCTCAAAAGCAATTTTATAAGACTAGAGGATCTGTAAGAGAAAACCATTTTAAAAGCATTTTTTAAATTATTTTTACCATTTAAATCATTTTAACTCAAAATCCTTTTTTTTATTTGCCTGTATTTTAGCTGCAAGGCAAGAAATGATCAAGTCAAAATTACCCAACTCAGTACTGGCAAAAATTTGGCGGCTTTCTGATGTTGATGATGACGGTTTCCTTGATGAAGATGAATTCGCTCTTGCAATGTATCTGATTAAACTCAAAGTTGATGGACATGATTTGCCGCAGCAATTGCCCGAACACCTAGTTCCACCATCAAAACGAGATTCATAAATGACTCTCAGAAAAACGACCCAGCATCGTTACCAACTCTACGCAGAAGCTTCAGTGTAAGCTTCATCATTATTTTTCCTTGTGATTCTCTTGTGAAATATTTAATGTCCTTTCGCATAAAAAATATGTTGCTTTTGAAATTGTATTGATTTTTTAAAGTTTATTATGTATTTATTTCATTTAATATAAATAGGTAGAAATTGATGTATCTGTAGATACTATGTCTTACAATTAGTTTTGTTATTATTTAAATAATTTTTAGCTTGAGAAGATAAACCTCATTTGTTTGCTGACCTATATTTATGTGAATGCTTTAATGTGCACTAAGTGACCTTAAATATTTCATGTTGTTATCTTTTGAGTCAATGTTTAGGAAGCCATCTCAATCTTACCTCTCCTTTATTTATATTTTTTCCCCATTTTTTTAGTATAAATAATTTTTAAAATGTAGAAAATTGTTTATAAGTTTAGCCCTCATATTAACCCTTCCCTCATAACTATCTTTATTACAACAAGCCCATTTCTGTTTATGTATTTATTTTACTCTGGCTATCTTGAGCAGGGCTCCGCATGTTGTAGTTCAATATTCGAATTGTTGTAAGATTTTCTTGTCTCTCTCTTTCATTGGTGAAATTGACTAATCATGAACAGTAAAATAATGGTGAGCATCTCAGTTGCCCGAGTAAGAACAAAATTTTAGTTTGCTGTAAGAGTCCTGGAACGATGAGATTCAGTCTGTTAAAGAAACAGAGATATCTGCTGAATTTTTAGTTCTAAAATTTTAAAAACTAAGCAGCATATCTGATTGATTTTAAAGTTCGTAGCTTTTAGATATTGAACAATCATAGAGTAGATATTTTCATAATCGAATGTAATGTATTCAAAATCATTGAGCTGCTGTTTTTGATTATGGACCAGCCTGGCAAATTTAAATAAAGACTAAGTAGTTTTAGAGGTACCAGAAAAATCTGCCTTTGATAGCCATTCAATAAATACTTTGTTGGTGCAGTGTAGGTCTTCATCAACCAAATAAAGCCCCTGAAATCAATGATAAAACTGAAAAATGTAATAATTATTTCTCATATATTAACATGCAGGCAGTGGATTCTCTTGGATGCAACAAAATCAAAGAAAATCAAGATATAGTTCAATATAGAGGAGGAGTAAGGTGTCACTGTCTATTACAGCTTGGCAGTTTCATTTTGGGGACTTACTTTGGTTGGTTGGAATAGAAATGAGTTTGACGAGTAGCAATTCCTTTTCTCCTTCCTGTTCTCATCTTGCCAGACTTCATTTTTCTTTAGACTTCATTTTTCTTTATTCTTTGAAGGGAAAGGTTTCAAATGCTGAGGTTGAGATGGTTTCCTTATTGTGATCTTTACTGTGTGTAGCTAAAGTAATTTTAATTTTTCTAAATCAATTAACAAAAATTTAAGGTTGAAGTCCAATGTAATAAATAGATCGTGTATCTTCCATCCTTTTCCATTGAGGGTATAAGTAATCTTCAACTAATGTAAGTAAGGACAGTTCTGTACAAAAGTCATTCCCAGCTAAAGGTGCTCCTTTAAAAAATTAGGAAAGCGATTTAGATTCTTAAGTTTTGAATCCAAAGAGAAAAGAAAATGCAGGTGTTCAAGTATGTGATTGGATTTGTGATAATTGAGGGGAAAAATACAAATGTTTGTCCAATCTCCATCTTTCATTAATCCCGCACACAGTCTCTTCTAGGTAAATTTATGCATTTCCATTTTGAAGAAGAAATATCTTCTGTCCTGCTCCCTTTTCAGAGGGAAAAGTTTCAGAAAGATCTAACACCGTCAGGAGTGCCCTGCAATTAGAGGTTTTTCTTTTTTCAAATATATCATCCCAACTATGATTCTTAAGAAAACGAAACATTGTATCTTCATTTTCAATGACAAGAGGATATCAAAAGACAAGAATGACTCAATACTTAAGACAAAATTTGAACTGTCCCGCAAGGTTTTTTTTCCTCCTTTCTTACGTTTTCCTTTCGTTTTGAGTCTCCAAAACTATATCATTGTATCTTCTATTTTTTTTCTGGAGACATATCGCTAAATTTTTCATACAGACCTTAAAAATCATTTGAAATTATTTGTCTTGCCAAATTTGACTGCAAATCTCAGGCCAATTTTTTATTCAAGGCTCAGGTCTTTTTTATATAAACGTTCAATTTTTTATTTTTTTCCGCTGATATGCTTTTATTTTTTGCCTTATTCAGGAGTCTATCATAACCGTACCTTTTTTAACATGGAACATGTGAATTTGCTCTAAAGGCTTACAGTAAATTTTTGTTTGAAACAGTTCTCTGTACATCCCCCCCTCTTTCTATTTTGTTTCATACCGGTGAAAGTTCATGAAAAATACTTTTTGATACTATGTATAAATTATCTGATGGTTTTATATCCAATTCGATCATAAATTTTGTGTAATACAGCCCTATATTTTTCAAACCAAAGAAAAATTGACTGCTTTTCCTTACCAAGTTGAGAGAGAGAACCTGAGACATTTGAATGCTTTTCTTAGAGCATGATCAAGGAGAAAAGTATATCCCGGCCCAGATCATTTGTGCATTGGAAAAGTGCTTTTCAGTACTTATTTTCATGATCAATGATGTTTTCCCTGAGATTGCAGACACTTACCTTGTTTGTTCATGGATGGAATCCAGAGTTATGAAATTGTATCTTTCCATAACTTCTTGCTAGTTTTCTATCCAGTCAAGTCATTTTTCTTTTCAAAAATTCAAATAAGAAAAGGAATTGAAGTATTGCTTGCTTGAAGTGGCTTACAATTTAGTATGAACCTTACTCACTTCATCCATTATTAAATTGTTTGCCGACAGTCAGCAATTTGTACCAAATTATTGTAATACAATTATCATTTCATATCTCTCATCCGACTTTATATTTCAAATAAAAGTCTGTGCCTGGTCCATCAATACTTCAAAATAAACTCCTCACATCTTCTGATGAAATTATATGCGAGAGAAAAAAACTTTAAGCTGAAATAGAATAGTGTGTGTAGAAAAAACTACCTATCATATTATCGAATTTTTGGAACTAATCCATATTTTTCACGCCTCTCTCTTTTGAGGAGCCCAGGTCTTATCTAACTCATCAAAGCATATCAGTTTTCATGTATTATGTTTCTTTATATTCTTATTAATTTCATCTTCTCTCTCAACCACTTTCCCATTTAGTTCTTCTTTATTATAGAAGTGATATTATGATTCATAATAAAGTTGCTGACTCTCTCTTGAATCAGTTTCGACAATTTTGTATCCAAATAACCATAATTTTAATTTTCAGAACATTTTTTTGTTCTTCTTTACCTGCATTCATCTTCATATGTTGATTGAGTGGTTATTTAGTGTATTTTCCGAAGGGAATGCTTTATTTTTTTTTATGATTTTATTTATTTTTGTTTTTTCCTTTTTTTATAAATATTCAATTTGAACGGAGTGAAGCATTATAGGTAAAGTAAAACTATTTATTTTTGATAACTGTGCATGAATATTGAAAATAAATTATTTTGCAATAATGTATTGTACATTCTGACTTCTGAGTATATTTTGCCTTTAGATTTCTATGCTCCTGTGTCTATCGTAGAAATCTTATGCTGAAAAATGTAAGTTTCCACAAAAGAATCAAATTTAACTCTAAATATGCTCATTATTAGGAACCTTTGCGCCCTGTACCTCTTGTTTAGCCAAATTTTGATAATTTTTGTGTTGTAATTGTTCATGGGAATATGAACCTTGAGGTTGGATGAAAACTTTTGGGGAAGCGTTTGGGATAAGATTTATCTCCCAATTGTAATACCAACAATATGAACTATTCTTTTGAAAAAGTACCCCACAATCACAAAAGAGTGTTGCTGATTTTACTCGTAACCCTTACAGTGGTACTGGTTCCTGGAATCACACCGCCTTCCAAGACATAGGGGAAAAAATAAATAAAGACAAATAAAATTTTCAAGGTGAAAAGAATTAACAGATATAATATCAAAAGTATTCACATTTCTTTTAAAAAATTAAGACAAGAAATCAGTAGGTTACATATTGTTCAAAACTACAAAACTTTAATGTCAACAATTATTAAAAATTATTTTGATAAAAATCAATATCTACTATGAAATTTAACCTGAAGTATGTAATTGAATGTAGGTATCATCCATGGAAGCAAAATGAGAGTAATCAATATTCTTATTTCCTCTATTCATGTCTATCACCATCATCACATAGCTTGCAGCTTCATTTCAAAAATGTTTGCTTACCCCCAAGAAATTAATCAGGATATTATTTAAATACCAAAATTGTTCATGTCCAAAGGTTTCTCAAGGCATGGCATTACCATATCCTGAATCAAATGAGAGGTAACCAAAGCTGTCAACAGTGAGGAGACCCACAAATGATCAAAAGTTCATCTGCATTGAACTAGGCAAGAAGGCACTGTACATGATAGGAAACCTTATACCTCCAGTTCTTTTGGCTTTGAGCAGTCCATTTACTAAAATCATAATTTATTTATCTTTTTCTGCCTGTTCCCTTTAGAAGTCTTCAGGTTTTTGTATTCCTCAATCTTTTTTTTTCTTTTCTGCTAAATGTTCATTTTAATGAAAATTTCTCCTCAATAATGATATTGTTGGAGCACTTGCTGATTCATCATGGAGAGGGGTCTTTGTGCCTTGATAATTTTGCTTATAATGCTCATGTTTAAAACTAGACTGTATCATTTGCCATCTTAATCCCTTAAAATAACTTTCAAAACTAAGGTCTGAGTGGTAGTGCTGAAAGTTGGAAACACATATTTTCAAACGTAAAATAAAAACCTCTTATGGTTTTCATGAAAGAAATCTGAAACTTCTGTAATTCTCTACTGATTCTGCTTAGTGAAGGATGTGAGGCTAAATCAAGCAGTATGTTTCAAGCAATGAGCCAAAAAGTACCCCTAGGCGTCCCTAACTTTGACAGAAACATGAATTTCTACTGAACACAGACAAACTTACTATGTAGTTTTGTAGGCAAAGTCAAAATTAACATTTTTATTTTAGCAAATTCAATAGAAATGTATTGCTGTAAGCCACTTTACTTTTTCATCCTCAAAAACATAGAAAATACCAACCTACTCATAATGTTGGAAAATTGTATTTTCTTAACATTTTAAAATCATACCTAAGTAAAGCAAATTTCCAAATAGTTTCCATTACTCCTAAAGCACTTTAAGGCGATTATACTCGGAAAGTAAACAAAGACCAAAGTTTTTAACAAATTTTGCCAAATCACTGATTTCACTTTAAAGTCATGGTTAAAATACGGATCCACCAGCCATAGTGGCATATTTCAGCCGTTTTTTTAAAGGATCTGTTTTGTTAGCCCCACAATAAAAGTGAAATGATCTGAACACAAAATATTACATTTGATCAGTCTTATCAAATGGTTAATTTTTGCGTTTGGATACTTGGAGCTTCAAATCAGGTTTTATAAAAGAGATTTTTTGCAAATAAATAGCTGGAATATGCTTCGAGGCATAATGGATATGTTTTTTGACAAAAATGTAAAGTAAAATCAGTATTTCTGCAGAATTTGTTTGAAATTTTGTTTGCTTATTCCCCTCATTGATCCGCCCTAACTAATTTTTTTCCCTAAGATACAAACTGAACTGTTCTTTATCTCTCTTTAAAATTTGAACACATGAGTCCCTGTAGTTTGTCATACGTGTAATCAAAATCTTTGAAAACAATATTTCATCACAGCAACAAAAGTTAAAGAGCTGTGATTAGATGATTACTCGCACTTAAAATTACAACTAAATCAGTCAGTACTTGAGTGAACTGAGCACTAAAGTTATCTATCATTTTGATTTATTGGGGGTTTTCCGCTTTCGAAATGCTGCAGCTTGTCGCAAGAGTTCAGCATTTTCATCCTCGATAACTGGAGGGCCTTCCAGTAATCTTTTTGGCATAAATATTAGTCCAAACAAAGTGATACCTGTAATAAAGAATTGTGAAATGTATTTTGAATTTCCAGTTCACATTTGACCAAGGACAGAAGAGTATATTTCACTGAAATTTTCATTTGTAGACCTCTAGATTTTACAGAAGAGGATTATTGGTCTCTATCCTGTTTTTGTGGGAGGTATGCTATCGTAAGATCTTCCCCACCTATATAAAATTACGCCAATACCCCTAAATAGAATTAGAATACGCCCCCCTAATAGAATTACGCCATAGAATCTACACTAGAAAAAGGAACACTAAATCATCATTGCATTATAGCCAAATTGCATAACATTTCAATGAATGAATGAAGAAAAATATTTTAAAACATTTTCAACCTGATAGTTTTTTGAGATATTGATAATTCTTCATGATGTGCCCCTTAAAAATATTCTGTATCAATTCTACTGATGAAATGGAGAGATTTCTAAATATTATTAATTCAATTTGATTTCAACTGAAGATGGTAGGTCCTTTCAGTGGAAATATTTTGCAGTGAGGACAGATGCAACATCTAGAAATTGAGATTCACTCACAAATATACCAACTGTAAATTCATAATATCATTCTAATCATCAGACGTGTAATGTCATAAAGTAGGAAAAACTCACCATTCAACACGCAAGGGAAGACAACATAAAAGTTCAAAGTTGTCGAGTGGTAATAAAACGCCTCTGCAAGGTACATTATTATTGTGAGTAAAAGGGAGCAAACGCCCATGCTAACAATTCTGAAATTTGAATGAAAAGTTATCAGCATACAAAGACAAATGGCTGGTTAAGGGAATACAATCTACTCAGTAAATAAAATGGAAGAACGTACTTGCTTAAAAAGTTACCTTTGTTTCATAAAAACTCTCTGATGATCCTAAATTTTTCCATTCCGTTATGTCGTGTCTTTTATTTCAACAGCAAAGAAGTGTCATATTTGTTTTCAACACTGGTCTTGTCATAATGGGGGTAAAAGAACCTGTTTTTTTTTTCCTATTATACTATACGTTCCAGAATTATTCTTAGTGGCTGGGATTATCAAGAAAAATGATGAGGGGGATAATTTTTTTTTTGCGTGGGTGCACATTCCGGGTAGAATCTTATAAAGGCTAAGTAATTATTGCTACTTACGGTCTATAGTGAATGAATACAGTACAATGAATTAAGGCTAAAGCTTTCAGAATTGAATACATTCCCAAAATACGAGGCAGAGTTGGGTCTTCTGAAAAAGAGGTAGAAAAATTATATTTTTACTTTTTGTGTGAAGTGAAAGGAATTTGTAATAAGCAGCTCTTTATCATCAAGGTATTAAAAAAATTTTTGTCACAATAAAACCATGAATGTAGCTGAACCAGCAAAAAAATAGTAGCATTTACTCTCACAATCAGTTACCCACACATATACCTAACATTTGCCAAAGTATCAAAAATGTTCATATCTTTATTACAAATCCATGGCAATGTTAAAGTTGTGCTCTTTTCAATAAAATACGATTAAACTTTGAGTTTTTTCTCTGATACTTTCCTACGTTTGGCTGAGGCATCACTGTCTTAACTCATTCTAATTATTTACAATCTCTACGAAAGCTTCAAAGCTTTCATGCAAGTTGGAGTAGAGTAACTCAGGAATGTGTGTTTCAAGCAAAAAATTAATAGTGACAATTCACAAACCTTTCTCCAGTAGTTGATCAGACTGAGTGTAAGAATGTTCCCCTAAAAAACATCTTTTTTCAATGTAGGATCTAACTGCTACTCCTAAGTCCATGAAAGCCACAAAGGCAATCCATCCTCGAAAAGCGTACATAAGTTTTTGATCAGTGCCCATCTTCAATCTGTATCAATATTTATCCACTATGTCACAGCTTTGAACTTCCAGAGAGCAACTTGCAGGCTTAAATTTAACATAAAGAGCTTTGACAATTTTTCTTAATAGCCATAATAAATTCAAGCACTTTGGATAGAGCCAAATATGTACCTACACATGGCAGCTGGAAGGTTAGTCCTATTGATTAATTAAAATCTTCAAGATAAACCCGAGAAAGCGAGCGTTTTAAGTAACATTGATTGACAGAGTGGAGATTGTTACACAAGAAAAAGATGCGAATGTAAATATTTTGGCCGGCTCATCGACCCCTCTTTATTAATTCATTAGCAGTGCGCACGCGTTTTACAGGAGCGCGCAATCGCATTTCGCGCTTCCTCTGATTGTCAAGCCGGAAATGACTTTGATTGGTTAATGGAAAAGTTAGAATAACGGAATACACCAGTCACCAGCAACCGTCAACGACTTTTCTAATCAATCCTCAATCTCAATCCAATGATTCAGCATTAGCCGCATCGTGAAATGTGTTAATCAATTCACTCTTTTTCTTTTAAACAATTATTTTAGAAGTATTTAATTGATCAGCATCATGTCAAGAGGAAGCAGTGCTGGGTTTGATCGTCATATAACTATATTTTCACCGGAAGGACGTCTCTATCAAGTCGGTAAGAAAATTTTTCACCCTTCATGATAATGTTTACATTCTGAAATGTCACCTAATTTGCACTGTTTGTACTCCATCCTTCTGAGAATTATTTAATTATTGCTGCTGTAAGCTTCTCTATCAAAGATACTCTACACCGCTACTCATAAGTTGTGAGGAAATACATGAGGCTACTTCGGTTAGCTTGGCAGGACAAACTCCGCTGTCTATGCAGTCTTTTCTCATCCCAAACACATCCTTTAACACTTTTATTTTTATTTTCCTTCAATTCAATCGATTATAGCAAACGATTCAACCTTAGTTTTACATGGGTGACTTGAAAAATTGGAGCTCGTGCATCGTATGTTGAGACAAACGTCAATCTCCGATTAGCTCTGAATTCGCACCACTCATCAGGTCAAGTAATGATACATGTAGTCAGGTGGTACCACTGGTGAATGGTGACATAAACATTACTTTGACGTTTGTCTCAACATACGATGCGCAAGTTCTAAGTATACTTAATAGCACCGAGTGAGGTAGACATCAAGTTGGCTGTTTGGCTTTCACACAATCTTCCTCTGACAGTGACGAAGTCTCTACTTGAAGTAAATATCTATCAGGAAGATGTTCCAGTGGTTTGTACGTAACGATCTATGTACTAATTAGTCCCTTCTTTTAATAGTCTCCAAATTTGGGAAGGTAATGTTACTTACCTGTAAAGAGGCAGGTGCTTGCATATCTGACGTGAGTGCGCTCTGAGTGAAGGACTAGTTAGCATCAAAACCTCCCAAGCCAAGCAAGGGCCTCCTGCCCCAAGTGTCCCTGGTAGTCAATCGCTATGCATTTGATTCATAACTTGCTTTGTGAGCCACTTTTGGCAAGCAGAGTTATACAAATACCCATGAAACAGGCGCTGAATCTTCTGAGCCTCCCTAGTAGAACGCGCCTGCTGGTCAGCTTTCCAAGTTTTCTCATCGGTTTTCCACAATATTTCACAGAAACTTTAAAAGTGATGACCCTCTTCTTTTTTCCTTTGACTTTTGACTTTTTATCCTTTAGTATTTCCTCTCTTTCCACAGCTTATGGCTATCTCACATTATCACAGATTTGATAGGGCATTTTCTGCACCCCTGCCATGAAACAGGCTATATTTAGCAATTAATTGAGGAGGACCTCAGTAAATCAGATGGACTGTGTGAGGTTTCATTTGTTAAATTTCCCTAGCTAATCGATGACCAGTAATAATTTGTAATATTTTGGTGATAGTCAGTGAGGTTTCACGTACAATTTTTGTTTTACTGTAGGTTTTTTAATGTAAAAGTTTTTATTTCATAGTTGCAGCAATTTTGATTTGTTTCTATGCTAAGTTTTATTTTTATTCTTTCAGAATATGCCTTCAAAGCTATTAACCAAGGTGGATTAACTTCTGTAGCCCTAAAAGGAGTCGACTGCGCTGTTGTTGCTACTCAGAAGAAAGTGCCAGTGAGTATGGTCCTCAATCTATACTATTAACAACTTGGCATACTCTGTATGGGTTTTATTTTATGGTCTGAATATCATATATAATAAAACATTCCTTAATGAAGTAAAACCAACCTTTTACCACAAGGCAATCTGTAAAATGATGCTTAACCTCATAGACTGATGTAAAGATGACCTATGACGATTATTTAGATTTCCATCCAAGTAAAAGTATTGTCTAATGAGGTTTTGAATCTGTACTATCTAATGAATGACAATTATCGTAGGGTGTCTCCTCTTTTGAAAAGGAGCGAAAATAAAATTATCCTATTGATTTAATATTTCTGATTTTCTTGTTTCTCCCTGCAGGATAAGTTACTGGACCCATCTACTGTATCACATTTATTCAAAATAACTGAAAATATTGGCTGTGTGATGACTGGTATGATAGGTAAGCTAAACCAAAGTGCTCGTATAGTTAATAGAAAAGAAATTTAACTTGGCAAGTCTATTTTTGTCCATCCTTTGCTAACTCTTTTGATAATCTAACAACAGGAAGGCTTTTTGAAGTTTTTTCCAAAGGCCAAGATCACAAGTCGGTAGTCAGATCGGACTTGAAAACAGTGGTCATTAAAAACGAAATACCGAAGTGGTTCCTCTTGCTCTTAAGGTGATTCGATGGACGCCATATTTTGTGTCAGAACGACGTGCGATGTGTCGCATCAATTGGTCTCATTTTTTCTGCTATTTGTCATTTTTCTTGAATTTTGAGATGGCAATTCTGTTGTCAGGAGACTAAAGAATTCACTTACTAATTTTGACAAACAAATTCAATGTAATAAATGCATGGTTTTTTTAGAGGAAAAATATCGCTTTCGATACTGATATCAAAACTACACTCGAATGCTATATTTTTCCTCTGAAAAAAACCACGCCTTTATTACGTTGTATTTATTTGTTAAAATTGGTAAGTGAATTCTTTAGTCTCCTGACCACAGAATTGCAATCTCTAAATTCGAGGAAAATGACAAGTAGCTGAAAAAATGGAATTAATCGATGCTATATATCGCATGCCGTCCTGTCTCAAAATATGGTGTCCATCGAATCACCTTAACAGTCGCTTCCTACCAGACACTTAAGACTCACCTCAGTGTTAGTTTATTTACATTATTATTAATTTACAGATCCTGCAACTGCTTTTTTATCTTTCTAATAAGTTTTCTGCTGTGCTTAGGAAAAACGCTGCATGAGCCTCAAGTGTTGACAAATTTCCTTTGACAAAATACAAGTTTATCGGAAATGTTGGAAATATTTTTCCCCCAAATTTTTTAGACAGTTTTGTTTGCAATTAAATCTAAAATATTTGAAAATGTCATCGAAAACATACGCAACTTTTCTCAAAAATCTATCTTTTATCAGGGGAAATTTGGCAACATTGGAATGCTCAGACTGCGCTCTTCCTTAGCACAGCAGTATTACCCAATGAATCAGCAAAGTGCTTGTGGTTTTTAGTCATGGATGAGGAAGTTCCAGCCACATAAATTTATAACGTATAACGTATTGAATTATATTCTAAATCCAATGCATTATTTTTTCAGCTGACAGCAAATCGCAAGTTCAGAGAGCACGTTATGAAGCAGCAAACTTCAAGTATAAAAATGGGTACGAAATGCCTGTTGATGTGCTTTGTCATCGCATTGCAGACATCTCACAAGTTTACACTCAAAATGCAGAGATGAGACCTCTTGGCTGCAGTAAGTATACATTTAACTAAAAAGAATCTTCGAGAATAAGCAGAATGTATCATCTCAGCCAATTCGATTTCATTTTTTTAAAGTATTAGATTGCCTGAGCACACAGCAATTTTTTGATGACTGCCACCAGGAGACAAATTCATCAAGCAGTTTGAAGAATTAGGGTTGCTTAAAATATGGTTGAATGGTGCTTTAGGAATCAATGGCTGTAACTGCTATGATCAACTTGGTGTTCTGCGGTGTGTTATTGCAGAACAGGCTGACTCGCATCTTGTAGGGTGCTGATTGGGCCCATGATAGCATGCATGTGAAGCTTAAATAATATGTGTGGTCACATTTTCCACCTGAAACCTCTGCCTCTGAACTATGTAGAATATATGCAATAGATGAGTTTCATCACCTTTCATTTTTTCTTTCAACTGAGAGATCTTAAAGAAAAAGAAATGGGTAGTGGGTTATGTGTTTGTATGCAGTAGTCGCTTTTATGGGGCACTCAGCAACTCCCAACCGCCCCTGAAATTTATGAAGAGAGATTGGCTCTCTAAAAACCAGAGTCTGTTTATACAGTCTCTGTTATAAAATCTGTTCACTCCGCTGATTACGAAGGCATAGGTCAAGTTTTTTTAACAGTATGTTTGTAGCAGGCACTGAGTAGTTTGCGTCGTGCCCCAACCCCGACTTGGAGGACCACGGTTTGACTTAGGAGTACTGTCTCCTCGCTGGGATGTTTAACCAAAGTTGAGGGCTCTGTCTGTCTTTCCTATTAGTCCTAGGGGAGAGAAATCCACCTACTGAACTATTGTCACCACCTAAACGACTTCCTCCATCAACCAACCAAGTTCTCTAGGGCGCTTTTTAGGAGTTATGGGATCACACCCCTACCCCTCCCGGAGGGTAATAGGTCATCATAATTGGCATTTTAAGCTAGTTATTTATACTTCTACTATTGACAATCTATCAAGTTTTTTGTTTTAATCTGTGTTCCAGGTATGATTCTAATATCCATTGATAGGGAATTGGGCCCATTAGTTTATAAAGCAGATCCTGCTGGCTATTATTGCTCTTTCCGAGCAATTAGTGTTGGAACCAAACAGACAGAGGCAAATAGCTATCTTGAAAAGAAGTTGAAGAAGAAACAAGATTACACAAAAGATGAAGCGGTTCAGGTATGATTTTTTTTTTCCTCACTTGGATCATTACTTCTCCCGTTGATGCAAATAATTAAGGATAGGAATTTTCAAACTCTTTTTCTGCTTTTGTTACGTTAAACTCTGATGTACAACATTTTGTGAAAATCCTTTCAAGACCTCACGACCTCAGATTTAGCTCATGTATGCTGCGGTCTGCAGCATCATGAGACTGGGCATCATTTGCATTTTTGATTTGCAGTTGTGGCCAATGAGCATTTTCTGATTTATTTTTAGGGTCAATTACTATGTCTGATTTTTCATCTACTGTTTCTCCTAAATTTTGTTCTAATTTTCTCTTCTCTTTTACAGTTGGCAATATCTTGCCTTTCAAATGTTTTGTCCGTAGAATTCAAAGCATCAGAATTAGAAGTTGGAATGGTCAGCGTAGATGAACCTCTGTTCAAGTAAGTTTGATTCATCATTCTTTTCCGATATTTTTTAAATGCTAGTCTGGATATTTTGATTATTGACTAGAGCTAGGCAAATGTAAAAAAATCTCCGATGTTTACATATATTCTCTCTTATCTTTGATTCCAACTCAAACTTCAAAACCTCAAATTTTTGAACTTATCTACCGAATGGTTGTAAGATAGTGAAATTGCAACTTCTTTCCATGGGTCAGCAGTCTGATTGTTGAAACTTTAACTGGCTTTGTCGACAAGATAAGACAAAGCCCTATCTGCGTCGTGTAATAAATCAATTTTCGATTCTTCTCGTGCCGCCTTAAATTTCAACAATCAGGCTGCAGGAGCAGTCTTTGGCTCCAATTGTTCAATCATAGGCAATAGAGGAGATGTTTTTTCAAGATTCGAATCGGAGGAGATAATAAACTTCCCTTGTTTCTCATTTTGCTGCCAAGGCACTGGTACAGAGGCCTCCAGCAGTCTGAAGGCTTGCAGCAGTGCCTTGGTTCTTACATTGTTGTTAGGCCGTCTGTAACAGGGGAGCATAGAGAGATAAAACCATATTGTTGTAGTTTGTATGCAGTAGTTTACGATTGTACTGAATTGCTAATTGCGTAACATTTTAAGCATAGTACTTACACCTTTCCCTGTAAAAGTTACCCTGAAATGAACTCTATTACATACCATCATGACTAGTAGCTTTTTCTGGACAAACCAGGTTGTTAAATTGATTAGGATGGCTACTTCCTAAGGAAAGGAAAAGGTTATTGTTCACATGTTATCAGCTGTCATGCAAGCTTGTGTGATACCCTGTTACTTCAAGATTTCCTTAATTCCTCTAAAAATGAGAAGTTGCATTCAAATTTCTGCAAAAAAAAGTTGATAACAAAGGAGGAATTTTATAAGAGAAAAACTACTTTACCGCAGATGGTTTCTTTTCTTAATGAGGAGCATGTTGTTATGCCAGAAGCTGAATTGGTTTCATTTCCTCCAAAAAACTAAAGAAAATGAAATTTACATTTGGACTTACTTTGAGAAAAGAGCCTTGCACAAAAAGGGCTAAAATTCGCCCGTTTTCGGGCCCTCGAAATTGGGGTCGGTGTGAGGTATTTTTTCATCTATAGGGTGACCCTTTACACATAATAAAATTTCAGATTGAGTATACGCACCGTTTTTGAGATATGGGGGGGCAAAGTCCCCGATTTTTACTCATATTTGCAGGTATTTTATAGTCGAACTTCGGCTGCTACAAGGTACCGGATGTAGATATTGAAGCGCGGTTTGCGGTGATTTGTCAAGCTATTTCTGGATTATTTTTTCACATCTTTTACAAACCCGCAAATGGTTTTTCGGGGGGGGGGGAGCTTTATTCATGTTATCATGACCGTTCGTATACGTCTTACTGGCATTAATTGCTTCGTTCTCGACTCCTCTCCACGCCGTAATCATGATGGTATTTTCTGTTAGGAATCTTTCTTCTTCTTTATATTTGACCAATTCTAATGTTGTCTCCCCCTTT